TTTATATATATATATAATATATATATATATATATATTTTAACCATTTGTTGGGCTTCTTACAGAACAGATACTTTAAAGTTACTTAATGGTATTGTTTTTCTAATTTTTTTATAGTGAAACAATCATGTTTCTTCATGAAATATTCCATCAAGGACTAAAGGCAAGGCTGGCAAATTGGCCTACTTTGATTTTAGGTAAGTCATTTTTTAAGGATCTGGATTCCTGTTGAATAGTCAGTGTTAGAGTATGGTATGTGTTATTTGGCCTTGACTGTATAAACTTTGCTATTAACTTACGAGTTTCCTTAGACACTGGGTCTCTGTCCTGTTATACTGGGCCATGTATCAGAAGCTACCTGTTGATGCTTTTCCTTGGTCTATCATAAGTCCTGTGGAGTCAGATTATGCTGCAAGGTAAATTCTACCCAATTTGTCCTCCAGGTAGGGTAACTAGGGCCCGAGCTGTATGGTGCAGGGATTTCTGTGGTGATTCGCCAAGCACCAAGGGAAATAGCCATGCTTCCTTCTCTTTTCCAGCTGATCTGTTTGATATTTTGCTGCCCATGCTGAACATTTATCAAGAATTTGTGCGTAATCACCAGTACAGCCTCCAAGTACTTGCCAACTGTAAACAAAACAGAGATTTTGACAAGCTCCTAAAACAGTATGAAGCCAATCCTGCCTGTGAGGGGAGGATGCTGGAGACATTCTTGACCTACCCAATGTTTCAGGTAAACCACTTGGGATGGAGCTTTTAAGTTCCTGATTCTAGTTCAGTGCTACCAACTATATGCCATCAATTATCTGTCTAGTGTATATGACAAAATGGATATTCTGGCATTTTTTTTTCCTAGTGCTGGGGATTGAACCCAGGGCGTTGAGCATGCTAGGCAAGAACTCTACCAATGAGCTACATCTCCAGCCCTGAAAGCAAGCATTTTTGAGGCAAATAATTGAGGATGATTTTTTTTAGCAGTAATTTCTCTTTATAGAATGATTCCACACAGAACTCTTTCATAGAGTCTCCACCTCCAGCATGTTTAAAAATATTATTAGGCCCACAGAAATAGGATTCTGTGCAGATGCACTAGTTTATGCTGGTTGCATAAAAGTTCTCCGGGGACCAGGGTGGCTGCTGGGAAGTCTCTGTTTTCAACCCTCCTTCTGCTGCAGCAGGATTACTGTTGAGTTTCTCTTGGCTGGAACTTTGGAGAACAAAACAGGGCCTTCTTAATCCCACAGGCTGTGGAGACCTCAGAGCTAGAAGGTGCTGGCTAGACCTGGGTGTTGTAGGGACCTGGTCATGTGGCTCTTATTAAGAAAGGCTATACCCTGATGTTCATTCATTCTTGGAGACTAGGGAGACGCACAGGATGAAGCACACATGTGTTCTTTCTTGCCTTTGGGGCTTTCCCTTGAAGTACCTAACTTGAGGCAGTTCCACAGAGCCCCAAATGGGCATGGAGTCTCCTGTTCCTTTGGAAAATGTGGATTCTGTTCTTTTGGAAAGGCATTGAGTGTTCCTGTTGTGGAATTTATGGGGCTTCTAGTAAGGACTCTAAATTGTCATGTGGTAAAACGATTCCTCTGATCATATGTGTTATAGTTTCTGTGGAGCACTCTGTCCCCTGAGCAGGCAGCACTGACCCCGGATAACCATTTTGGAGACTCAGTGGGGAAAATTTCTGTGGTCTATAATTGTTTGTCTTAAGGTTTGTCAGTGCTGCTTGGAACCTTGGAAGTGGTCAGGGTAGTTCAGTAAGAGTCTTAAAAACCAGAAGGCTGCATTTGAAACTTCATAATGATACACACACACACACACACACACACACACACACACACACACACACATATATATATATATACATAGTTTAACTATTTTGCTTGAACTCTTTGCCTCTCTGAGGAAGTATTTCCCAAGAAAAATGACAAGCTTTTATTTCACTCTATACATAGATGGAATTTCAGATTTTAGTGACAATGAAGTACTTCACAAATGCATTGCTCTTCTGTGATGCTATTTGTGTGACCTCTAGGTTAGGACTCAGAACCTCAAACCACATCTGTCAGCAGCCCCAGGTCAGATGGACACAAAGGTAGAATTGTTCAAGGTGCATGAAGCTCCCTATGCTCGATGTTACTTCCACATGCCTTTTAACTCCCCGAGGCATGGTCTTCACAGGGTTTAATTTGGCAGAACTTTGCCTGTATTGTGGACAGCCCTGCCCAATGCAGTTGAATGCTGAGCTTTAGGAAGGACTGTCCTCCGCCCTTCTCTTCCTTCCCACTGCAGAATTTAATCCCAGTAGTCATGCCTAAGTATTTTGATTCACTTGGAGGCATCCCCATCTTGTTAGAGATGAGTATGGAGCTGGGAGTCTTGATGACACCTGATGTCTTAGCCTTTCCTCTCATTGACAGCCACTATCTCTGATAGGGGCAGCTGAGCACTGCTTATCTCCAAGTGCTCAGATCTCCGACTGTGCTCCCAAGTGGATGTCACTGGTTTGGACAGCTTTGGGTGGGTACCCATGACATATTGTAAGGAGTCTAGGCCTACCTAGAACCTCCTCCTCAGCCCCAAACTGTGGTAGCTCTAAACCCTAAAACTGAGTGGAAGGGTCAGATAGTGATGGTCTTTGACTTCTTTCATAGTGAGTTAATTCAGAGCTTTCAAGGCCCATTTGTCTAGAAGAATCTTCAAACTTAAAATTTTCTGTCAAAATTACCCCAGTTTTCGAGGGATGAACAGATGAAAATGATTTTGAGTAATGCAAGAAGAAAAATCATTAGAAATTGCTGGCCATGGGCCTGGTTTTCCTGGGGTCTGTCCTTTGACTTATTTACTTGGGTCTCCCGAAGGAGAAACCATCTGAAACAGCCAGAGGTAAGTACTCTTTCTAGACACTTGAAGGTTTTTTCTTACAAGGGCTCATCCAGTCCCTGTCCTCCTTCTCTTCATGGGCCCTCACTAAATGGTGAAGTCATGATGAGGGTGTTTGTACCCTCACAGGATCTGGAATGCAGCTCAATGCATACATTGACCTGCAGTAGTCACTCCATGCCTTGACCTTACTCCCTGGTGGTGTTAGACACACACCACCCACCCATCCTGCCCTGCAACAGTGGAAGATGTGACCCAGACATGAGCTCAAATATAGAAGCAACAACTGGTGCTCAGCTAGAGGGACAGGAGAAATTAGAATCAGAAGCTTTTAGCCTGTTGCTTGTGCATGATGGAAGAGAGAAGGTGACAGAGTGATGCCCTCTCTTTTTGTAATGGGAATTTAACCCAAGACTTTACACACATGAGACAAGTTCCTGGTCTCCATGCCCAGCTTTCTTGGGGCTTTTGTTAAGTCAGTTGCTGCCTTGAGCTATGAAGACAGGGAGGAATTATAGAACTGGGATGATTCAGTCAGAACTAGTACATCCTATTGTTACCAAGCAATTTGTTATAGAAATAGCAGTCATTAAATTTTTTACTTAGCAAACACAGGGTCTAGGTTGGTACTGTTCAAGCAGTCTCTGGGTGCTCATCTGTTTATTTGGATGTGTGGTATTGACAGTCCATAGGTAAGCCAGTCATGATATCTGTTCCCTCCAAGAGTGATGCTGTGAGATGTACTCTATGCAGGAGTCACTCACTCTTCTAGCTAGCTATTAACCAAAACAGGAAAGCATGCTAATTAAAATCTATAAAGTGACAAGTATTTGTTCCTTTCTTGAAAGTAGAAATATGATTCATTTTGATAACAGCTGTGATTGCTCGGTGTTCTTGGGAAACTCTTTACAGTGAGCTCTTGACTCCACAGACAAGCTCTTTGCAGATACTCACTTCTCAGCAGAGCCCCTTTGCCTGTGAACTAGCATTCATTTGTTCTTGTACCAGAAAGTGGAAAGGGCCAGTTACTGAATTCAGCTCCATTCTCTTGAACCTTAGCCAGAGAACTCTTTAAAATAGACTTAACTAATGGAGGAGGAGCATGAAGCCATCTACTAAACATAGTTTTGTGGGTTTCAGTGCATAGTAAGTAGTGAGGCCCTCCCACTCTGGACTCGTTAGGAAAAACTGAGTATATTAGCTGTGGAAGTACTAACTTTTAGCACAGTTTTAGCTATCGTGGGATTGTGCCAACAAAAGGGTTATTTGTAAGCACCTGCATTCCAGAAGTCTTTTCCATCAGGGGTGGTATTAAAGGATGTTTTGGTGAAGAGTTTATAGGAAAAGGCAGAATTCTTCCATCATCTGTCCTGCAGTGAGATGGTCTCTTATTTCCTACCCTTCTCTGACCATGGGATCTGCCTGTGTTTCCTAAGACTTTGATTCCACCATCAAGATGCAGTTAATGCCCATGCTAATACTGACTCTTGTCTGTGTGAATACATAAAGTAGGCACTCATGAACAAATAGCAATAGCCCCATGATGGCCACACAAGCGAACAGCAAAGACACATCCACAGATAGGCCCACCAACAACTAAGGACAGAGGGGACAAGCTACACACAGAGCTCTGGGAAGCTGCTTTCTATCCTAAGGTCTGCCTTAGATAAGTTACTGGACCTTGCTGACATTTATTTTCTTACTTGCCAAGTGGAGAGCTAATCCTTATGGTGCTGGAGGAGTGGACGTGTCCACAAAGCTCAGAGTCCTCCTGGGCCCACAGAAAGCAATCCATTGGAGCGGTTGCTCACACATCTTTCTGAAGTGGAGCTCCCTGATTTCTAAGAGGCTGTGGAGAAAAGTATGTTGCATCTGTAACTTGAGTTAAGTCTCTTCTTTGGTTTACTAAAAGTCTCATATGGAATTCATAAACTGTAACAGAAGCACAGATAAATAACTTAGCTAAGCAGCGCTTGCACAGCTGGAGGGAGAAGTGAGATGAGAAAGGATGAGATTGTCAAGACAGGTGAACATACCCTTCTGGATTTCAGTTGTTGAAGAGCGCATTGTCAGGTCTTAAAAAGCACATAAACAGACAGCAGACCTTTAGAAATAGACTCAAGTGCCTTGATGACAGCAATATCTGCTTCCCCATGACCAGTCTGCAAAAACCCTGATTCCAACATGCATGACTATGTACAAACTTAAACAATGGCTCCTTTATACTAGATTTCTTCATTCATGACCAACTTTTCTTGCATTTTTGGCACAGACTTTCTTATTATATGAGGTTTGAAGCTCAGTTCACTCTATATGTATTCTTTTGAAAAATGTAAAACCTTCACAATTAAAAGGATAGTGATGAGCTTCTCTGAGTGTCCCCCAGGTCATCTACCTGGACCTCTTGTTCACACTCATCTGTGTATGTATTTAGATCCCCAGGTATATCATCACACTGCATGAACTCCTGGCTCACACCCCTCACGAACACGTGGAGAGAAAAAGTCTGGAGTTTGCTAAGTCAAAGCTGGAGGAACTGTCCAGGTATGCAGGGAACTTGTGGGAAGGGCAGAGTGGGAAAGAAACAGTATGGTGGCCTCCTGTTTAAACCCAGCATGTGGGTTTCAAGGGAGAGGAAGCAAATGGTAGATCCAGCTTCTTAGATTCGGCTTCGAGTAAAAGATATGGTGTAGAATTACCATACACATTCATTTTAGTCAAGAAAAAATATCTCTGAAAAGTTCTCATAGCATATGAATTTGTATAGTTGAGTTCTAGTATATTTTGGTTAAGTTTGCAAGTATTCACTTCTTTTTTTTTCATCAGAATGGAAAATGACTTTCTGTTACATTTTTTTTGTATTCATATTTTTCATAAAGCTGGAGAATGGGCAGGTTGTCACCAATACTATTCAGATTGAATGTGTCAAGTTGAATAGCAGTCTCTATCTCAGTGTCTTCAATGTTAACAAAGGGAACCATCTGTGAAATGCTAGGTCTCTTTCCTGTTGCATTTAAAGCAAACATTGCCACTCACTGATGGCTGGTCCCCTAGCCATTGTCAATCTGCTCACATAGCGTGGCCTTGCCTTAGGCTGACTGACTGAAGCCTAAAGGTCAGTCTTCTCTTACTGTCTCAGTTAAATTCGTTCAGACCTGCGAATGTCAAGTGGCACCATGTTTCCCTGTCTGCTAGAGCCATTAGCTACTGTCTCTTACCACCACCCTCTCTGCATTGTCTCTTAAAGAGTGATGCATGACGAAGTGAGTGACACTGAGAACATACGGAAAAACCTCGCCATTGAAAGGATGATAGTGGAGGGTTGTGACATTTTGCTGGATACCAGCCAGACTTTCATCCGCCAAGGTAAGACCTGTTGATCAGACCCTTGATTTATGTGATCTGTGTGTCTGTCACAGTATCTGGCAGATGCAGGGACACTTTCTGGAGCAGGCCTATGTGTTTGGTGCAGTTCATGCAGGACACCCCTGTGGCCTTGACCAAGGCTGTGGTTGAGGTCCACCTCTGTGCTATTTCTTTTCAGGGGTCATGAAAAACAGCAGCCCAAAAATAGCAAAGCACAAGTGGGACAGTAAATCAATACTCTGGCTGGACTCCCCTCCTCAGTGGACCGGACGTTCTCTACAGCTCCAAGGAGGACAGGTCGGTCTGGCCAACCCGAATGGCAGTGCCAAGTGGTGATGCTACCCAGGCAAAGGCTCAGCAGAGACTGGCATTCCTCAAAGCTCTTACACATAAGAGTGGTGACAGTGTCCAAAGTGAAAAAAGCTGTCTTTTGTTCCCTTTTCTCACTGGCACTTTGGAGTCAGTGCCACATGCTATAATTTAATTCATTTGGTAACTCCAGTTACCAGGTGAAAGGTCCCTGCCCAGCTTCAGAGATGGTGAAGCTATCCTGTGTGTGGCATGTGTAACACAAATAATAAATAGACCCCAACACAGATGTTGGGGTTCAAGATGAAGATCAGGGAAGCGAAGCATCCAGCCATTAGCTCTCATCTCTAGCTCAGGCTGAAAGGGCTGACCCATGCACAAACTCTTCTCAACTCCTGCCTGGAGTGTGGCTGGAGAACAGATACCTTTCTGAGACCTTGCTTCTGTCTTATATACTTCCCTAATGTTGGTTGAGCTAAAGTTCTCTTTCAGACTGATTCACTCTTATGTAGATCTGGGTGGCCTTGGACTCACAGAGATCCATCTATCTCTTAATTCTGAGTCCTAGGATTAAAGGTGTATGCCACCACTTCCTAGTGTTTGGCTGCTGGGATTAAAGGTTACATCACCACTGCCTGACCTCTATAGCTTGAGGCTGACTTTGCTTTTCTGAATCCTCAGTCAAGCTTTAATAAATCACAAATAATACATCACTACAGACATATGCTTTGCCAGGGGCAACACCTGATTAGTTAAGCTTTTGAAGAGATGAAGTTGTGTCACAAATGTTGGAGAAGGACCAGCCTGATGATGTACATTCCTCCTCAGCTCTTGCAAGAATTTAGCCACATCCTAAGACACGTTCAAGTGCTCAGATGTCCTGGGGGTGGGGGTGCTCCACGTGCTGGGTCTGAGCCATCAGCAAGCTCTGCTGAATATCTTTATAGTTTTGGAATTGGTGTGGATTGAAACATAAACTTGGAACTTGATTAATCATTTATGCTGCTTCTGGCCATGACGCACCAATATCATTTGAAGCTATTACTGTTTCCTTCCATAATATTCTGCTTAAAATATGTTAATAATATAAAACATTATGCAGTCCACATTATTTTTTTGCCTAAAATACTCAAAAAGATTAACACATGTCATTCTATTTTCTATTACTTATTTACAAGGAGAAACACTACACATATGCTAAATTTGGGAAGTATATTTTAGGAAATATTTCTCTTCCCATATTGACACTAAGGTATGTAGTAAACAATGCTAACAACACCAGGTCTTTCCAATTCCTGTCCTGTCCTGTATGGCCTATGTCCCTATGGTGGCTGGCTTTCTGCCCTAAGGTACATTGCCTGCCTGTGCCTTCACCTGTGTCATCTTCTACTTGGGAGTAGGAAAGTCCCACTCTGCCTCTTTCATGCCTATGAAAGGTCTACTTGACCTAGAAAGTCCAGGTCAGATACAAGGTCTTTTGAAGTTTTCTCCTCTTCCCATCCACTTGCCTGGAGTTACAGTGCACTGACTCTCCTCTCCATTTTCAAGTCCTTTTGTGCATGGAACATGCCTTTTTGTGTGAAGATATCTGTCTGCATGCCTCTCTCTCCCAGTAACTGCAAACTCTGAAAGGCAACATCCCCCGGAATTCTCTTTGCCTCACCTTGTCTATTGAAGGAAGCTACTGGGAAAGGGGACATTGAAGTAGACTGAACAGTTTATTGATGGAACTTGTAAAATATTTATTTTCTATCTTTCTTACATTTAGAGTTCTCTAAAAATGTCTCCTAGTTGACTTGTACTTTATATCTAAGAATGGACAGAAAACTTTCTGTAACTTACACGTACAATTTCTGGATGTACTTTTAATTATTATCCACAATCACTCAATGTATTTGCAAAACTTAGTTTCTTGTGAGTCTGAAAAATAAAAACACAAATAATGAAGTGTGCTTGAGGGTCATTGAATAAGTGACAGTTTTTGGGTTGCACTTTAAGAAGTAAAAATCATATACTGCTTCACCCTTGAAGCCACATCCATACATTATTAATTCTGCTGTATGTTACATCTAAGGCAGGGCCTGCCTTGATTGCCCAGAATGTTATTGTTACAGTAATGTCAGTGTGGTTAGTTACTTTCCAGCAGTCTTGCTGATCTTGCTGTGTGTTTGATCTGGTTAGTCTTTTTGTTCCTAAACATCAGAACTTAATCTGAAATTAGAAAGTAATCAGTTATAATTAGGAAAGTTTGCACTCTTTTTCTTTAATTTCTCCTGTTAGCACTTTTACAAAATCGTCTTAACAGGCTTTAACATCCACAAAACACATTTTAAAAGTATTATTCATTAAACTATTGGGGTTTTCATTTCCTTCAAATTGACTATGATTTATTTTTAATGGTGTTCTAGTATTTTTATTAATCACTCCAATGGTGGTATAAGATCTATTTCAATATATGCATACCTGCATCTGTTTTGTTTTGTTTTTTTGTTTTTTTGTTTTTTTTCTTTTCTTTTCTTTTTTGTTTTTGTTTTTCGAGACAGGGTTTCTCTGTGGCTTTGGAGGCTGCCTTGGAACTAGCTCTTGTAGACCAGGCTGGTCTCGAACTCACAGAGATCCGCCAGCCTCTACCTCCCGAGTACTGGGATTAAAGGTGTGCGCCACCACTACATGCTTGCATCTGTTCTTTCAACTTTCTATGATTTCCAAGAGAAATAAATCACCCTAGTCCTCATAAGGTCTCCTCAGAGTAAGAAAGTACAGCATAGAGCATAGCAGCTCTGCCACCTCAGATACCAAGTTCAACAGCCTGAATATCACCTTTCATATTTTCATTGCTGGTTAGAATTCAGAGCAGAGGCATTGGCAGGGCTTGGGGGCCATTCTGTGGGAATTAGCAATGGAAGAATCAGAAGTCTTCCACAGGTTGATCTCAGTTGTTGGCTACTCAGTGACCAGGATGCTAAGGACAGAGCCACAGAAATGGCTCATAAGGAGGATGTGATAATTTTTCCCAAATACTAATCATTTGTCTAATTTACATTAACTTGCTAGGAATCTTTTCTGAAAGTCACAAGGTTATATTGAAATATGTCAAAAGATGAAATGTGAGAAAAACAACTTAAAACACATTTTGAAGCATTTTATTTTATAAACTCTTAAAGTTGTCTTGAGATTTCTTGCTTTTTAGTTTTAGTTGAATAGATTTCTATCCAGATCTAACATAGATACTCTCCTTTTTAGTGGACAGTTACAATTTAACATATTAGTGTATGGTTGCCAAGGAAACTTTTTTTAAACTTCAAAGCTGACATTCACAATAATAGCTAATAGATGTGCTAATCATAAATTTTGTAATTTCTGATTTAGAAAATTGCCTAAATTGCTGGAAGGCTTTGCCAATGAAAACATTATCATAGAGTTTTCACTGACTTGATAACAGCTTCTCTGAAAATGGCTCAGTGACCTATTGGTCCACCAAGACACTTGCCAGAGTGCCCCTTGCCACTCAGCCCTGACTAGCCAGACTTCATAGTAGGACTACCTGGGATGTGTTCCTCCCTTTGCTTTCAAGTTCCAGTTTTTACATTGTTAAATCTCCTGCCACTGTCTGCCCTGCACCAATGTGAGGCCTTTAGTTTCCCCACTAGTAAAATGCAAAGGGGGGTTAATTCCATTTCCTTGAGTCTCATGAGTTCCAACACTTTGCTGCAGTTACTTGCTCGAAAGTTTCCTAAGCTTTCTGCCTTCTCCACACCTCCTCGACTCCTCAAATTTAAATCTGTCAGCTTGCTCCCACCCACCTCACCTCCTTCAGCTACTCTCCTCTTGTCCAACCCCTTCCTTCGAGTCAAGCCTTCTCCCTGCCCTTTGTTCCCCACTCCTACACCCTCCCCTAAGACTGGTTCCTTGCTATTCTTTAAGCCCAGAAGAGCTGCCTACTTTCTGTCTGTCAAGCATCCCACCTAATCACTCCCCTAAATAGATGATGTGAGGTCAAGGCATGGGAACTTGGGTCCCGTGTGTCTCACCAGCTCTGTTAATGGGAAGATGCAATTCAGAACATTCATAAGTTAATGTTAATGTGGTAATTTTGTGACTCACATGGCTTTATTGCCTTCGGTTTATATTTCTTTGTATAAGAAACTTTAGGATTTTTCTCACTATTCATTATAGAACTAATCTGTGCTCAGTTAAATAAAAGCAGCAGACATGAAGAAAAAATAAGGTTGTTTCTCTGAGAGATGCCTCTGATAGTATTTAAGGGTTGACTGTGTACTTTGTGGTTCTTGTGGGCTCATGAAAGCCTGTGTAGGACTGCACAGGACAGTGGATTACACAGGTCATTAATGGCTCCAGTGATTTCAGGAGTTAGAACCAAGGAGCTTGCAAGAATCTTGGTACTTTGTGGTTGATATTTAAGAGACTGGAGTTTTCTCTTTAGGATTGGAGAAGTTTTGACTAGTCCACACGTGATTAGAGAATTCCTAGACATTGTATAACTATTACAGAAGTCTGTGCATCACTTCTATATTGAGCGGACTCAGCTTTTCTCTGGGTGTGGTTTACTTCCCATTTGGGCTTCACAATATATTTTAATCACACTTTTTTGCATTTCCTTTTATTAGCATCTATTAATTGTACAGAATGGGGTTCATTGTATAGCTCATAATTTAAATACATTTTGAAATAGCTTTTTAAAAGAAACCTTAATTAAATATCATATAAATTTATGTATCTTTATAGGAGACATGCAATTATATCATCTATTTTAAAAATACAAAGTAAACTACTAATATGCTTTTTATTTTGTTTGCTCCAGGGAGGATAAATTCTACTTACATTGATCAAACTATCATATTATTATCTATAATTATATAATGTATAAATTTATTCAGTCAGTTCATAAATGGCATCAACATATTAATCCTTCGATTTTAAGCTGGCCTTCTTTCAGACTTAGCTTCCAGTTTATAGATGAAGAATCAAGTCCAAATTGTTTCACAACAATGCTGGGAACAGCTTGTCCCTTCAAATACAGCACGTTGTTTCCTTAGCTAGAATAGAGGAGATTCATGTTTTCCAATGGCATGTCAAATACATCCTTGGTATTTTGGGAAACAGATCTTTGTGTGTATTGCCAAGGGCATGGTCCTCGCCAGATTTTAATTGCTATCTGTTCTTCACTTTTGTAATCACCAGGCTCTCTTATTCAAGTACCTTCCGTTGAGAGGGGGAAACTCAGTAAAGTTCGCCTTGGCTCGCTGTCTTTGAAGAAGGAAGGCGAGAGACAGTGCTTCTTATTTACGAAACACTTTTTGATTTGTACAAGAAGTTCAGGAGGAAAGCTGCATCTGCTCAAGGTACAGGTCTTCCATGTCTGTTTCATTTGTCTTCCCAGCACTGAAGGGCCATTGAGGTTAATTTGATTCTGCCATTCCCGTGCTTGCTGTTGTCGTGAAATGGATGGCTGTGATTGTGCAGGGAGAGGCAGTGTGTGCCTACCAGCTCTGGGATTTATTTTGTTGCTATTTGGATTCAAGGAAATAAAAATGCATTTTAAGTTTGCATCATCATAAAGAAGAAATATTAAAATCAAAATCGAGGCAAAACTATTATCACTTAAAAACTACTGGGTCATAGTTATCTTGTCCATTTGCCATAGTACACTCACAGATGAAATATTTGACAACTGCTCTTTTATCTCACTGTGTATCAGGGACCATTGAACTACAGCCTAAAGCTTGCTACCCATTCTTAGTGGTAAAATTTTATTTGCACATAACCATGCATGCCCATGGCTACTTTCCCACTAAAATCACATAACTGAGTTGTCAGGATAGAAATGATGTCACTCAAGGAACCCAAAATGTTTCCTATCTGACCTTTGTAGGAAAAGTTTGCCAACTTGTTATTTATCTCCTGTTGTTACTTAAAAACATTATTCTCTGGGCCAGCAAGATGGCTCAGCAGATAAAGGCTCCTATCACCAAGCCCTATGATTTGAGTTCAGTTCCCGGGACTCACATGATAGAAAGAGGACGGATTCCTACCAGTTCTGACTTTCTCACATGCAGCATAGCATTATCCCATGTGCGCATGCGCTCGCCCACTCACACTCACACACTCACACATACACATGCACACACATAATCAATAAGAGAATTTCAAAACTATTATTCACACCCTGACAATGGCCTTCTATTTCCTAAGGTATTTCCTGGATGGCCAGTTCACAATGCTGGGCTGTGGTTACTCTCTGAAGTCACTTGTGGTACTGTCTAATCTCCCACAGATGGCTTTAATAAATTTTATAAACAATGGGGGCAAGAGTGAGAGTGTGGGAAGAATTTAATTAAGGTTAAATGACTTTAATTTATTTATTCTGTTTAGTTTTGTACTCTGTGAAAAATTATTTATGATGTAGAATTGCCATCTCTGTGACAACTGAATATTAAGTTTACAAAGCAGAACTTCCTGAACTGCACAAGACTACCTGCCTCTTAATCACTAATCCATTTGTTTCCAGACAGGTGGAGTCCTCTCCCTCATAGAATGCACATTGATTGAAGAGCCCGACGCAAGTGACGATGACTGTAAGTGACTCCCCATCTCTTGGGTCAGTGGTGGAATAAAACAGTCAAGGTGTGTGAGGGGTGCTCTGTGGGAAAGGTGTGTGAGGGGTGCTCTGTGGGTAAGGTGTGTGAGGGGTGCTCTGTGGGTAAGGTCTGTGGGTCTCTGTGGGTAAGGTGTGTGAGGGGTGCTCTGTGGGTAAGGTGTGTGAGGGGTGCTCTGTGGGCAAGGTGTGTGAGCTGTGTAAGGGCTGTCCGTGGGGGCAGACATGATTCCAGGGCAAAGTCTCTAAAGCCACTTATCTGTTAAACCTGTGAGACTTGTTAAACCATCTTTGAGAACTGACATTCTGCAGTGCTTGCCACATGATAGTGTCTTTTCAGGGACAGACAAGGAAGAAAGGGGGTTTGAACTAAACCAGGATTTCTATACATGATGAACATTAAAATAAGCATAAACAGGGAGGTTGGTTTGAAGTTACCTGCTGCCCTTAGCTCACGTGCTAGGCCTTCTGCATGCTTCAGAAGCACATTGCCTAAGTGAGAGTCTGCATGTGGGTACCAGTATGAAGGCCGGATGGGAGGAGCTGCTGTTCATGTCTCTTGCATTCACCTGTAATTGTTTGGTTTACATGTATTGAAGCCAAAGGTTCCGGCCACATGTTTGGACATCTGGATTTTAAAATAGTAGTGGAGCCTCGGAATGCTGCCCCTTTCACTGTGGTCTTGCTAGCACCTTCACGCCAGGAGAAAGCAGCATGGATGAGTGACATCAGTCAGGTAACTAAGCCACTTTTTTCCCTGATTTGCATAATTTTTCAGCATAAACGTTTGTTTACTGAGGATTGCTAGAATAGCCACATACTGTTAAGTTACTGTGCTTTCTACCATTGTCACTACACACTTTGACAGGCCGTTAGCATTTTTGTTGTTCTTTCTTTGTTAATGATTACTTAAAATGTGGTTTATGATCAGTGCCTTGCTCAACCATTATCAGAGAAACTTCCTCCTGCAGCAGATGGGAGCAAATATAGTGACCCACAGTCAGGCATTATGTGGAGAGTGAGAGGCCTTGGAACACTCAGCCCTAAATGGGATGTCTCCATTAAATCCTCAGGGTTCAGGGAACCCTATGAAAAAAAGAGTCAGAGAGAGGGGTAGGAGATCACCAGAACAAAGCCTCCAAATCAACATGAGCAAGGCTCATATGACATTCACAAGGCCTGAACTGATCTACACCAGGCTCTTTGCATATATATTATGGCCTCCAGTTTAGTGTTTTTATGGGATTCTAAAGTGTGAGCATGAGTGTGTCTGTTTCTTGTGCCTTCCTTGGGCTCTTTTCCTTCTGTTTATTTGTTTGTTTAATTCTGATTATTTAGTTTTTGTTCTACATTATTGCATTTTATTTTATTATTTAAAAATGTAGCCTCATTGTAACTCCCAAGCTTTCTGTACCAGCTGCAACTGTGTTGAACACTGTTGAATTGTCCTGTCAGTGATTTCTTTTCCAGTGACTCCAATGGCAGTTTTTGCTTGTCTATTTCTGAAATAGGAAAATGATGAGAGAGATAAAAACAGCTATCAAGGACTTTGGTGAAAATTTGCAAAATAAAGAACCAAAGGAGGCAGCATGTTTAGGATGAAATCTGGAAATAGCTTCCTGAATTTTGTGAAGAAAAAAATTAAGGATCTGGGTGACTTGCTCTTTCTGGATCTGCAAGGCTCAAGTAGAAAAGTGATACGTTTATTTAGGCTATGGCGTCACTTGGAAATATGTCAAACTAGTTACAGCTAGACTTGATTCCTGCTCCACATGGATTTTGGCTCCACTTACCAATGTGGGGGAAAGGGATTGTCTATAAGGAGGTTAACAGAGTGAAATGTGGTGATTTGTACTTGTAATCTCAGCTCCACAGGTAGTGGAGGCAGGAGGATTGCTTGAATCTAAGAGTCCCAGACCAACCCAGGCAATTAAGCAAGAACTCATTTCTAATCTAATTAGTTAGTTAATTGATAAAATCTTTAATTAACATTCAGAATTTACTTCCAAAGTTGTCATTTGAAGAAGATTAGGGCAAATGGCAAAGGTATTCACCATCAAGTTTGTTGCTTTCCTTTTTTCCTGAAAAGTTCATAGCAATTTTCTCATAGGATACATGGAAGCAAATACTAAGGTCACGGTTCTTCAGATGCCTAAACTTTTTGAGTGACTAAATACTGTGAGAGCAGTAGACAGTGCATGACCATAACATTTTGTTTTATTGGTTAAAACCGTTTTCTAGTTCCACTCTCATTCTATCCTTATAATAGTATTTTAAAAAGAAAGCAGAAATAAATACTGCTGGCTTTACTGTGCAGGTCAGAATGGGGTTTGGAAATCCACATTTGTCAAAGTTACTTAGCTGCATGGAGTCGGTGCCCAAACCTCAGCCAGGACTTCTTGTTGGTACTAAGCACACTGTGCAGGTTATCTGTCTATCCCTCAGACTGCTTTGATGGTGGTAAATACTTAGAAGAGAAGCTGTGTCTTTATTGGCTTCAAAATGGATGAAAATATGAGATCTTCCTTAGTTTTTGAACAAAGTTATATTCTTATGATGGCCAATTAATACTTTTATTACCTCCAACCTGCATTAATACTTCAGTAAGCCTCTCTTATTTGTAAAGAATTTCTGAGCTTATTAAACTCTAGATCATTCTTTGATTATTCAAAGGTTTACTGAAGAACCACCAATGCAACCAGGTGTTGTTCAGATATGGGGATATGGTATTGACTGACTCTTAGGACAGAAAAGGAAGTAACTCATGGAGTACATAAAATTTGATATTGTTGAGAAACCAAGAGGTATATAATGGTGGAGAAGAGGGAGAATAGCCAGATGTTTTTCCAAATGCTTTCCAATCTTTTTATGATGTAACCAGAGCATGAGTTGATCATAGCCCCCTGCCCTTCCCTATGGTGTCTAGCGGGCATGTGGGAAAGACCCCTGGAGTTCATGATGGATTCCATGCCTGGTCTTTTAAAGGATGGGACCCAAATTTTTGCCTGCTAGAAGCATCCAAGTGAGACCTTCTTTCTACTTAGATTATGGCTTGAAGCAGAAGTGTTCAACTTCCCCCTAGTTCCTCCAGGTGCAATAGTGGGTATATTCCTTAGAACAAATGATACTCATTTTATCTTCAGTTGAAGAGCATTAGTAGAAAGTTATATCTCCTCAAGTGGCAGTGAAATCAATGCATTAAATTACTATCTTCAGTGATGACTTGTCATCATGTGACCTCACAGTCCTCACAGTTTCATTCATGCAGTGTTACTATGCCAAGTACTATTCTAACCCTTTGTGCCATAAAGCAAGAAAAAGAGGAGAGAGCAACAGGAAGTTCTCTGATATTGATTACATTCTTTGGTAAGGAAACACACATACACACAAAGTGCAGTAAATGGGGATACCATGTGGCCATGTGATAAAGTGAAAATCATCACAGAGAGAGGAAGATGTCATTGCAAAGACTCTAAAGTGAGAGAACACTGTGTTTTAAGGAAAGCCAGTGTGACTGAGCTGGAGAAAATGGAAATAGTAAGAGGTCATGGGTCAAGATCAGGGAATCAGTCCATGTCAGGTGTAGGGCTTTAGTTTGTACTTCAAGTCAGATGAAAGCTGTTAAGGGCCTTGAGCACATGGAGTCCACAATGTAATTTAGGCCTTGGAAGGTCACTTCAGGTATTGTGGGGAGAGCAGATGAAGGTGGAGAGCCCATTGGCACAGAGGGAGGTAAGGGAGAATGCCCCTCCAGTCACCAGAAAGTTCACACAGCCTAGCAGCAAGTGGAGCTGGACACAGGGGTTCTGCTCTGTGTTCATTTTGAAGTAAGGGCCAGTGAGGTTTTATCATGGAGGAGAGAGAGAATGTTGAGTTAGGGAAGGTGAGGGTTAATGGCCTAAGCAACTGCAAGAATTCAGTTGTCAACAACCGAGATGGGAAAGTCTTCAGGAGCAAGGTTTTGGTGTGAACATGGTGTTAGTATTTAATCATTTGTACTGGTCTGCCTTTGGAGTTCTGACAGGATACACCCTCAGCTGTAGCCACTAAGGGCCCTGCCCATCTCCTATCCATCTTTCTCTTTCTTTCTCTCCCTATCTCTGTCTGTTTCCCCCTCTTTCTCTGGCTCTCTTTTCTGTCTCCTGCTGCTCCTGTCCCCAGAGGCTGGTCTCCCCCTTCTCTTTTCCCCTTTTATGATCCTTTTTCCTTAATAATAATAATGAAAAATAAAATAAATAAAACCTCCACTTCAACTCTGTCAGATGGTGTCTTTCCCTTGCCCCAAGTGGGGGAACTTACATCATTCAGGTACTAGTTTATGCTGTGAGAATTTTAAAACCACTTGAGAGACTGTTGATTGATGTGAGAAGTCGGTTCTGTGATGGAAGAGAAGCCAGAAGGAACAACAGAAAGGACCAAGGAGGAGTCCCAGGGATAAGGAGAAGGATGGCCAAAACTAAGGATGGCATCCTGGGAGCCAACTGAAGAAAGCCTGTAAGGAGAAAGGAGGGGTTCTAGGTGAAGCTCTTCAGGAGCTGGCTAGGACTGTGAGGGTTCTGAGGTACCTTGCAATCTTGGGGTGGAGTTTCTGTTCATTGAGCCTGACCTGCAGCCTGCATGCCCATTTCTCAACTTGATTCATGCTGTGCCTAAAACACATTCATTTTATGGGAGAAATCATACACATTTATGGAATTTTTCAGCATCACAAATACAACAGAACATATCTATTATTTGCAGGAAGGGCCTATCAAGAGCTTAAAAATGTCTTCTTTAATATTTTATTGTGTGTGTGGAAAAACCTGGCCACAAAGATGAACTAGAAATATTCCCAACACACAGTACACCAAAGTGTTTTCTTTTTTCCCTTTTTTATTAGAAAGAAAATTATTTTACATGTCAATCCCACATCCCTCTCCCTTCCCTCCTCCCCTGCCCCCCACAACTAATGCCCTACCCATCCCATACCCTTTCTGCTCCCCAGGGAGGGTGAGGCCTTCCACAGGGGGTCTTCAAAGTCTGTCATATTTTGGGGGATAGAGCCTAGGCCAACCCCCTTGTTCTAGGCTCAAGGAGTATCCCTCCATGTGGGATGGGCTCCTATAGTCCATTACTATGGTAGTGATAAGTACTGATCCACTCATAGATTTCCAAGATCTCCTCACTGACACCCACATTCAGGGGATTCGGATCTGTCCCATGCTGTTTCCCCAGCTATCAGTCTGGGGACCAAGAGTTTTCCCTTATTCAGGTCAGCTGTTTCTGTGGGTTTCACTAGCCTGGCATGGACCCCTTTGCTCATCAGTCCTCCTTCTCTGCATCTGGATTTTAGTTCAGTTCAAGGTTTAGCTGCGGATGTCTGATTCATATGCCATTGTATAGCCTTCATCCAGCAGCTGGTGAAAGTAGAAGTAAAGTGTTTTCTACATGTAGCCTATGTTAGCATTGCTGAAGGAGTCTTGCTCAAATGTATCATTGAGAACCTAAGTCCCAGATGACATGTGAAATGCCCTCAACTTAACAAGCTCTGTAGACCACTTCTGCACAGTTACATTACATGGCCTCGCCTTGAAGAATGAACTCTTTCCTCCTTCGAAGACCCTAAATCCACTCAAAAATGATTTCTCAGTTTGGCTTCAGTGAGAATTCATTATTATTATTTTTGCCTCATTTACTTCTTTCTATATTCCTAGAAATTCTTCACATCTGTTCTTCCAGTAACTGTGTGTGCATATA